ACCACCACCACTGCAAGTATTAAGTGTTTGTTTTTCTCTAGGTTCAAAAATAAAAAAGTTATACTCACCTGATCCGGCTTGCTCTTAGATCGGTCCCTTCTGCCTCACTCCCCCTCCACTGCAGCGGTCTAAGGTCCCATGAGCCATCATTTTCCATACACTGTGTATAGGATATGAGGACGCTGAGGGACACTCCATCACTACAGCACAGGAGAAAGGATCCAAGAACGAGCACCATGTATTGTTCACCAACGGGTAAAATTGCAACATTTTATTAATACAGCTCTTAAAATTGTACATAATTAAAAACAACGGAACCAAGTTGCGGTGTCTTTGGCACAGCCGTCCCATATCAATTAGCACCGCAAAGGGGGGTAACTACTTATAGGTAACTGCAAATAAATAAAGTCCAAGCCCATAAAAGGCATATAAGGTAAACCGTGGTTGGGGTGTTGATGAATGAGTTCTAGATGTGCTTTGCCTAAGTAGGCTTCCTCAGGAGAAGGACTTGGCGCCTAAAGATAAAAATGCTACGCCAGGAAGACAGAGGGACATGTTGACTTTGTAACAAAATATTTATTGGATTTTCAAAATAAAATTAACAAGACATTTTACATAGTATTTGCTGGCAGATAAATGTTAACTTTGAATAAAAAAATAAAAGGATAATGTAAAATATAAAACAAATTAAATAATCTAATTCAATTCCATCTACACAGCCGGACTGGGTGGCTTCTGTCTTTTACAGCATAGTTATACCTAAGTTAAATCCTTTGATATACTGTATAGCAGGGGTAGCCAAACTCCGGCCCTCCAACTGTGGTGAAACTACAAATCCCATGATGCATCTCTCTCCGGGAGTCATGCCTGTGGCTGTGAGAATCTTGCAATGCCTCATGGGATGTGTAGTTCCACCACAGCTGGAGGGCCGGAGTTTGGCTACCCCTGCTGTATAGCCTTAGGAATGCTGACGTTAAAAAAGCTTTGGAGGGTTCTTTAAAATGTTTTCAATAGTAAGGACCCCAGGAACTGCCACGTCTGAGTTGTTGCTATTGTTAAAAAAAGTAATAGAAATCTAAAGAGACATTGAAACAAAATATAGTTGCACTGTTTCAATGTCTCTTTAGATTAGGCTGCACTGTGCTCAAAACAGGTGACTCTTCCAGGCCTTCTTGGGCACAGCTAGGATTCTCAAGAAGAAAAAAATGAAGGGTTATGGACTGGCCTCATCAAAGTCTTGAAATGAATCCCATTGAAATGTTGTGAGGAGATCTGAAATGGACACTTATTGCAAGGAATTTCACAAACATCTTGCAGCTGAAGGAAATATGCATGGAGGAACTGTCAAAAATGTCACCAACACTTAGGTCCCGTTCACACCTGGGCGTTTCGGTCACACAGATTTTTCCACGCTGAAACGCCTGTATGAACAATTACACGAGGACTATTCATGCAAGCATGCGGATCCACGCAATCCGAAACGCCTGTCGCCCCAAAATGCTCCCTGAGCTACTTTTGTCTTGCGTTTTCCATATAGATTTCAACAGAGATGTGCTGATCAGCATGTTTTTGGGCGTTTTTAATTGCATTTCAGTGCTAAAGCGCGATTAAAACCGCCCAAAAAAAGCCCTTTCAAAAATTGTGAATGGGGCTTTACATACTATACGTAGTTACATAGTTAGTAAGGTTGAAAAAAGACATAAGTCCATCGAGTTCAACCATCAATGGAGAAACCATTAAACAAGGCACCATTAAACAAGATCTGACCAGGAGGAACTGACTCTCACTTGGTTTGGTCGCTGTGCATCCCTCAAAATGACGACCCTCCCGAGGATCTTGTACCTACTCCAGACAATACCGATCTGTCTACCCCCCAATTTTTTCATTCAGATGAGACGGTTGTTCGTATCATTCATCTGGGCGCGACAGCAACCAAGACTGGCATACCGTATACTGATCCTACCCAAAGACAGGGGGGAGTAGGACTTCCGAACGTGAGGCTCTACTATAGGGCAATCCATCTGTCTAGATTACTGGATTGGTGCTGCCATAGTGGTCAGAAGCGGTGGGTGGGGATAGAATTACTGGAATCCAGGGTACCACTCACGGGCCTAGCATGGCTCTCCTCCCCACTTCCTGCAGAGTTGACTACACATCCCTTTATTGCCCCAACAGTAACTTCGGCCAGGGTGACACTTAGGTCCTCAGAACTCTCCCCACACCCTTCCCCCATGACCCCGGTAATAGGTGACCCCGACTTCCCCCCGGGGATGGGGAAGGGGCCAATAAGACGCCTGCTGGCATTGAGGAAGTTTCGGCTCTGCGACTTTATTGCGGACAGTAAGTGGATGTCCCTGGATACTATCCGGAATTTGATAGAACCTCCACTCGAAGAATGGAGTGCTATGCAGCTCCGACATTACCTGGCGTCAGTGCCGGGAGTGGAAGGACTGGCGCGCAGGCTCACACCCTTCAAGTCCATGTGCTACGAGGGAATACCGACTAGGCATGCCCTGTCCTGGCTATATAGGCAGCTTTGCTCTCCACCTGAATCATTTTGCCCCCCCTTCGTGGAGAGATGGGAATCTGAGTTGGGTGGGTCCTTTACAGAGGACCAGAAGAGAGCGATCTTGACCCTGGCCCATAGATCCTCTTTGGCCTGTAAATACCAAGAACAGGGATACAACATATTGACCCGCTGGTACAGAGTGCCACATTTCCTGCATAAGATCAACCCCTCTGTACCACCGATTTGTTGGAGGTGTAATCAGGCCCCAGGCAATATGCTACATATTTTTTGGTCCTGTGCTGACGTTCGTCCGTTCTGGAATGCGGTGAGGGCGATAGTTAATCGGATGGTGATTGAGGCTTACCAGAAGACCACGGGGTATTTCTTCTACATTTGACATCCACCAAAATCAAAAGATACAAAAATCTCTGACAGTACATATGTTGAACGCGGCCAGGTCATGTATACCCCTGATGTGGAGGCAAACTAACCCCCCCACAGTACGCATGTGGCTGGGTATCATGGATGACATTTACCGCATGGAGGACCTGACTGCCTCCTTGCGCAATGAGGAAGAACGCTTCAGGTCCACTTGGATGCCTTGGCTTCACTTCCGCCATTCCGCTGCCTACGAGGCGGAGACGGGAGAGATTCCTGCCACCCAGAGCAGTAATGGGTGATGAGGTTTCCTCCCGAGTGTGATATTCTGGGACAACTGAGGTTTGTCTCATGCACTTCTTGTCTCTTTCTTTTTATCTTTCCTACTCTTTCTTCCCTTGATCACTCTCCTTTAGTTCTGCAGCTCGGCGATAGAACGCAACTAGAGAGCAACCACGACCTGCTGGGCCACCCCATGCGCTCATAAGAAGTTCTCTATCTCCAGAGTGAGTTGGGCATCGTATAGAGGCAGTTTAGGGGAGCTGGGCGTGTCCCTCGTGTGTTTTTTATGATTATATGTATTGTTGCCTTTGTGGCGTATTTCGTTGGATTTAGTTTTACAATTGCAGCATGCATTCCATTAGCCGGTCCGTATGGACGGAGCCATTACAGGACCATCTTTATCCCTAACGGGAGAGGGTGGTTCGCATATGAGTCCTGTAAGGGCCGGTCTGATATGCCAGTCTGATGGGCCATTCTGGGGGGCATAGAACACCCAATCGGTTTACAATGTCATCAAACTAAGATATAATGTGAGATAGTTTGCGCTTATTTATATGTTCCAGATGTTTATAACAATCTGCCAGAGGTATATTTTATTGTCCGCTCATGTGTTGACATTCTTTGTTCTGTCACTATGCAATGCATTGATGTCTGCAAAGTTATGTATCAATAAACAAATTATTTGGAGAAAGAAAAACTGGGTAGAGAGCCCGCCAGTGATTCATGAATTAATACATGAAGGCAACAGTGGATTGGCTATAGAAAGATATTGGGGGTTATTCACAAAAGGGTGAAGAGTTTGGAGGAGGGAGGAGAAGGGAACAATCTGGGACAAAATAGCTGATTTGGAAAAATTCTCCAATTCAGCTCACTTTCCAGTTCAGCTATGTTGTCCTAGATTGTTCCCTTCTCCTCCATTCTCCAAACTCTTCACCCTTTTGTGAATAACCCCCAATATGTGTATGAGGAAATCAGCTCTGAAGGAGAGGTCCCGCTCTTGAAACCATTCATTCTTTCTAACAGGATCCATTACAGGGATTTTGTTTTCCGTGAATACACGGAATACATTTCTCTCTCAATGTTATTCTATTTGACCAAGCAAGTATGAAAAGATGTTTGTAATTACCAGTTTTTATATCATTTTTATTAAAAGCTTTATAAAGGTATCACACAATGCTTGTGTGCTTTATGTTTGGTCTATAGTGTCTTATAACGATTCCCAGTCTGGAGGAAGTAGCAAAGCCATGAATACTGTATATTAGGAAGCAATAAAGCCGTGAATACTGTGTATTAGACATGTGCACTGCCAAAATATTCGTTTAGTTTCGTTTCATTTTAAATTCGGATTTGTGTTATTTCGTTTTTCAGGATTCGGGTGTGAAAGTCAATTCGGATTCGGAATTCGGATTCGGACGAAATTCGGTAGCGTTAGTACAAACGTTCGGTTCGTTTTCTGTCCTTATTCGTTTCTTATTCGTTTTGTTCGTTTGCAGCAAAAGTGACATTTGAGGGGGGAAAAATATTTTTCTCTTTCTCTAATGTCACTTTGCTCCAACGAACTAAACGAATAAGAAACGAATAAGAACAGAAAACGAAACGAACGTTCGTACTAACGCTACCGAATTTCGGAAATGGAAATTCGGATTCGTTTGCATTCGTTATGTCTGTAATTCGGAATTCGGATACATCCGAATATCCGAATTTCCGAAAATTCGTCCGAATTTCGATTCGGAACGAAACGAATCGCACATGTCTACTGTGTATTACAAATCACAATAACATAAGAGAACATGACTTAGGTAGAAAAGATGTCCCCAATTCTCTGCCCTGCTAAAAAAAACTGCTACGGTAAGACCACTCCTAAACCCCATAAAAGAAATAGCAGACCACACTACAAATGGCGTTAAAGGGCCTTAGCAGCCTTTTATGAAATAATAAAATATAAAACATAAATGTAAACTTCAACATCAGAAACATTTCCAAAAACATAGTTGCAGGTCTTTGAAGGTCACATCTTTTTTCAATCTTCTCTCTGCGGCATTACTAAATATGTTAGGCTCCCAGCCGCAACACCGCCTCAGGGACAACCTCCAAGTGACTGCAGACACCTCCAGTATCTACATTTTCTGTTCACCATCTTACACGCTGTTATGTCTGATTAGGGGGTCCCCAATCAAGATAGTGAGTCCAAATTGGCAAAAGAAATAGGTGCTTTATTCATTCACTGCAGTGGGAAGATACATCAATATAGCTCAGCTCATGTAAGCTGAGTACAAGAGGAAGTACTTCTGGCAAAAATATGTTAAGCGCCACAATTTATAGTCATGAATATGCATAAGATATAGGCATGTTCTGGGCGTGTCTAGGCGTGATCGTATAGGTTTTAGTCCAATCAAGTTCATATCTTTTCAACAGCGATCAAGCAGTTAAATGGCTGTTAACATCATGTGACTGGCGATTTGAGGAAGTTCCAGAGGAACGCCCTTCCAAATTTTGGTCCAAACTGGTTCTTGCTTCAAGCAGGAAACCAGTGGTCAACTTCAGTCAGGTGCTGGGTACATCAAAAGCTCTGAACTTGCAAGTACTGTATATATTATCAGTTCTTAAAGTAGCATACCAGCAAATAGAAATACAAATAAAAGAGACCCCTATATTTTTACTCAACACCATGAATAGAGGACACCATACCAAGACAGGTCCCCAAAACATTATTGACCTGCACCTATATTTTGACCGCCTCCAAAGACTCCAACCACCTATACCGATACAAATACATTGGCACCGTCGGCACAAGGGTGGGAGGAAAGTTTGCTTCTCATCCGACATTCTCCAACTGATGAAGAGAAACCCCTCCCTCTTAGACCACCACCAAAGCCCCACCTTACCTTTTGAACCGACCAATCAGGTAAGTGACCTTGCCCTGAAGCCGAACCCGTATTAGCCATTTATCCCATTGTCTCTCCTATTCAGCTAGTCATGTCTGCACCCCGCCTAATTTGCTTTTTGCTCCGGGCCTAACTTTTACCTTGGAAAAGACTGATTATAAAGTTTCCTTACAAGAAGTTTGTATCCTAGAGCGCTGTTTGTAAATAAGTTCACCGAGTATACACCTGGTGGAGCCACCTTGGTGTAGGTTTTGGAACTGTTCCACCCGATAATACAGATACGCGTGGGGGAGTTTTGTAGGACGTACAATAATGTTGGCATGCGGACCATTTTTAGTATGGTAATACAATCTACTAGAGACAGGGGTAGTTTGTACCAGGTATGCACTGTGTTGATTCTAACATTAATGGGGTCCAGTTTAAATGAGAACTATGAGGTGAATGCTTTTAACTCATCCTCATAGTTCTAGCCGACCTGTGACAATGAGACTGTCACAGGTCGGCTCAGTAGATCGGGAAGTGAGCGAACACATAGCAGCGTTCGCTCACTTCCCGATCCTGTCACGGCTCTCTGCCATGACAGGGGAGGGGCTGGATTTCCCCCTCCCCGCTCCGATCCTCCAGGGCTGACTGGCGGAATGGACGGGGGAGGGGGCGCCAGCTGTCACTCACGCAGCTGGGCGTATCAGACATAATTGTCGGGACCTGCTTCGGCTGCAGCGTCTCAGTATACCGCGAGCTGTAGCTCGGGGTATACTGCGGCGTCTCAGTATACCGCGAGCTGTAGCGCGCGGTATACTCAGCTTAAGGTGACGGGAGGACGCTAGTTTGTGTCCTCCCGTTACCCTAAGGAGAACTATGGGGAAAAGCCCTGACCCCATATCTGGTCACATAAGGTAGAAACACAGGCAATGTGGGAGAGGCGGGATGAGGACGCAGGGTGAATATGGGCAAAAACAAGTAATATGTCAGTGGATTTGGAATCCCAAAAGGGTTTCAAATGTGCTAGCTATTTGGAGGATCTGGGTTAAGTCATTTGTATCTCCAAGGTAAATTAAGGGATCATCTGCATACACGGACCTGCTGTCTTCTTGAAGTCATAGCTAAGACCATTTACCATGGGGTAACTCCTGACAAGGATAGCCATGGGTTCTACTTCCAAAACAAAGAGCTCCGGGGGGAGTGGGCATCCCTGCCACATGACTCTGCATTTAGAGAAGGGCCTTGAGAACCAGCCATTAGTAGATGCAGTGAGATGTCCATATAATAATTTGATCCATTAAAGTAACACCACCCAGCGATAATTCCACTCCACAAAATTGAATGCTTTTGTTGTGTCTAGCGATACGATATCTCTGTTGCAAATATTATTATGGCAGACTGGAAGGTTCAAGAACAAGTCTCCTAATATCCATAGTGATAATCCTATTGGGAATAAACCCATTTTGTGCATGGATGACTCCAAACAGTTTGGTGACCAAAACCTTTGCCAAAATTTTAACGTCAGCATTTAATAATGAAGTTGGTCAGTAGAAATCAGACATTTAAGGATTCTTACCAGGTTTTAGTAGTAGAGTTATAACGCCCTGATATTGTGAGTCAGGTGGACCACTAGCTTGCCTGGAGCCAGGGGTGTAACTAGAAATCACAGGGACCCATAGCAACATGGGGCCCTGTGATTTCTAGTTACACCCCTTGCAGAGCCCACTTGAGATCCCACACAGCCCATCTGAGAGTGACCCGGCAGAGTCCATCATAGACTCTCTATGGTGGGCTCTGCAGAGTCTCAGGTGGGCTGGTCACACTCCTTACCTGTCCGCCTCCTCTTCCTCCATGGTTGCTGATGGACCCTGCCTCCTCCTCCATCGCCGGGCCCGCCTCCTCCTACGCCACCTGGCCCGCCTCCTCCTCTGCTGCCGACCCCAGGCCTCACCTCCTCCTCCACTGCCGGGTCCAGCCTCCTCCACTGCCGCTGCTGACCAGACCCCCCTGTGCCCGGGCCCCATAGCGGCCGCCTGGGCCACTATGGTGATTGTTATTCCACTGCCTGGAGCCATTGAGAGTTTGTAAAAGTTGTGGATGTAATACCTCATTTTTATAAACGTCAATAGGAAGTGCATCAGGCTCTTTTTTTTTACTAGGAAAGGATGCAACTGCTATTGTAAGGTAATCCAAAGTTATGGGGGGTGTTCTGGTAGGAGGGATGGCAAGGAGACTGAATCCAAACATTGATTTTAAGGAATAACTAGTTTGCATTACTCATCTTCAAGGGAAGATCTGTAGATCATGGGGTCCCATAGCAAAAAAATGTATGGGGCCCCACGGCAACCTTCCTAGTGTCATTTATATTAAAGTCAGGCAGCCGGGGAGCTGCCTGCATTGTCTTCTCTTGTACATCGGATGCCAGCCCTTCTTGACTGGAAATGTAACAGGGAATACAGGGTCAGTATCAACAGCGACTTCTGCAATCCTTAATGGGGCCCCCTTCCACCCCCAGGTCCCATAGCAGCTGTGTGGGCCGCTATGGGTATTGCTACGCCACTGCTCATCTTAAAGGGAATCTCAAAAGGGAATCTAAAAAATGGTTTGGGATGACGAATATGTGATTTGTTTTCTAAAATTAAAGTTTGTAGGTTTTAAAATATTGGTATATTATTATTCAGGATTTATAAAGCGCCAACAGTTTGTGCAGCGCTTTACTCCTTAAGCATAGCAGACAACCGTCTTCACAAGCCAATGTACTTGTTTTTGAGCAATCTTTCCTTTGTGGACGTCATATGTTCCTCAGTGATTGTGCCTAAAATGTTGAGGGACCTTCTAAGTGAAACCAAAGCCATCTCTTTTGTTGGCTGTGCTGTACAGTTGTTCATTTTCGGGTCCTTTGCAAGCACCGAAAGTCTTCTTCTAGGAGTCATGGCATACGATCGTTATGTAGCCATCTGTAGCCCATTGCTGTACCATGTCCACATGAGCGGTGTCTTGTGCCTCCAGATGTTGGTTGCTGCCTATTTTGGAGGTTTTTTAAATTCTCTTGTGCAAACTGTGGCCGCCTTCCGTCTTAACTTCTGCAGATCCAACATTATCAAACATTTCTTCTGTGACCTTCCACCACTCTACAAACTCTCCTGTTCTGATATATCTATGAATATTGCTGCTTTGATTACTTTAGGTAGTTTGGTCAGTATGAGCAGCATCATACTCATCATTGTCTCATACACCAATATTGTTCTCGCCGTTCTGAATGTACGATCAGCCCGGGGTAGATACAAGGCTTTTAGCACATGTACCTCTCATATAACAGCTGTCAGTGTCTTCTATGGAACTGTCTTCTTTATGTATTTTCGTCCATCCACTAGCATATTAGACCAGGACTGGGTGGCTTCTGTCTTCTACAGTGTAGGTATACCTATGTTAAATCCACTGATATATAGCCTTAGGAATGCTGAGGTCATAGAAGCTCTTAAGAGTTTTTGGAAATGTTTTAAATAATGACTTATGGTTACATAGAAGGTGAGGTTGAATAAAGACACAGGTCCATTAGGTTCAACCTATATAGTGTGCGTGTGTGTGTACAGGTGAAACTCCAATAATTAGAATATCGTGCAAAAGTTCATTTATTTCACTAATGCAACTTAAAAGGTGAAACAAATATATGAGATATTATACTTGGGGAGAGGAAGGTTTTGGTAAAGTGTAAACCACACAGATTATATGGAGGAGGGTCCCCTGTTTCTATATATTAGCAACAGATACACTTTTCCCCAAAAAGGGATCCCACCATTCCTTCAAAGTATGCAACAAATATTTATACAAATATATATTTATTGTAGAAATACTCAAAAGTATATAGCAAACATATCAACAAATATATCAAAACACAAACAAAGATATATTTGGCTGCATTCAGCTAGTGGTTTTTTACCAATGCTATGGAAAATAGTGTAAAGGTACGCCCTGGAGAAGCCTTGATGTTCTCATTTATAGTAATAATACCTGATATTAAAGAGTTTTCCCTTATATCAAGAATCTCCACAAAAGTGGGAAATAGTGTCCATATTTATGGAAAAAAAGAGCTCTGCATTTAAGGAGTGGACATACACGTGTATGGAAAAATGAAAAAAGACAAGGAAAAAATGAACAGTCAGCATCAAGATCTAATGAAAAAATATGGATTCAACTCACAGTGAATCCTTGTTTTTGGATCCAGCTTGGAAAACTAAAGCGGTGTTTCCATTGCTGTAACTAAATCCGGTTAGAAGAAACAGGTGGTTCAGGAGATATAGCTTTATCTCGGCTTTTTACGCTGGTTGCTGTAGATCAGTGCCTTAACTGAACTCCTGTGCTGATTCTGTGGAATATTTACTCCAAAATCGCACATAAAGGAAGAAGGAAGGAAAGATCTTCTTTGCTGGATCAATGTGGAGTGATTTGATGTCCGTTTTCCTGGACGGAGATCCTCGGATCCGAAGTGATGTTATCATCAGGTATAACGAAAAATTGATGATGGCTGTAATGGGTTCAGGAGATAACCTTATCTCGGCTCTTCTACTTGTTTTAGATTCGAGCCTTTACTGAAACCATAAAGTCTCTTTTTCTTTTTTCTCTCCCATAAGAGACTCTAGATATATTCTTGTTGGTTGAATGTGTCAGGTTAAAGTTGCTTGTGAGTAAACCTTTCAGGCAAAAACACAGGGCGGCCTAAGCCGAAGCAGCCACATGAAGAAAACCCTTGCTAAACGCCTATGACGAGTTTCACCCCCTCCCATACCGGGGCTTCATCAGAAGGGCGTTGTTTAGCAAAGGTTTTGGTTCTCTCATTTAATAAGTATGTCAGATAAATTATTTAATTGATAACACATGAAAACCATTGAGAAAAGCATCACGTTCTCGTGTGTGTGCCCACAGAGTGCATTCTTTTAACCGGAAACATATCCAGTATTTCAAATCATAATGAAAGAATATATATATCAAATAAAAATTATTTTTTAAGGCTATTCATTTTTAACGAGACAGACTATATTATTAACGTATAAGTATTAAAGTGTCACATGATACTTATAAAGACTCAAAAACCTATATTTGAACAAAAAATCAACAATTATATATTTTACATTTTTTACAAGGTGGCATGAAGTATACCAAATGGGAAGGACACACACAGTTTCTTCACTTAATATTGGTCATCTCGTAGGAGAACCCTAAATGCTCCAATAACCGGGATATTTATTATATGTAATTTAAAGGTTTTCCCCAATGTTTGGTAACTCCCAGGGTCCTTCATGTCATCTTGGTCAATCTAATCAGAAATAGTCCATACTTCATAATTTAGATATTAAGGGATAGAGATCCTTTTCATCATCTATAAATATGTATCTTATGCAGATACGAATATACTGTATGTCTCTACAGAGAACGATTATATTTTTTGGAATGGGACTCAAATCATAAAAAGCAACTAAAATTGATGGCCTCATTAATTCCTGGTTCTTCATAGGATTTGGCGGAGTGGATCCATTTGCATTCTCTGTGGAGTAGGAGTTTATCCCAGTCACCCCCCCCCCCTGCTGTACACATGAATTCTGTCCACCACAAAGAAACAAAGTACCTGGATTTTTCCTCCATGTGCAAATACCATATGTCTGGCAATGGGGGACCTTAGGTCGTGGGCCCCAATATCAGAGATATGGTCGGAAATCCTGTTTTTTAACATTCTTTTCGTTTTTCCTATATAAAACATGTCACATGTACATGTTAAAAGATATATGACCCCTTTAGTTTCACAGTTGGCGAAATGTTTGCATTTAATATTCTGGCCCCTAAGCGTGGTGGTCTCGGATCCTGTCTGAATGAAAGTGCAAAATTTACACTTTTGGCATTTATAGGTGCCTAGATACTTACTGCAGGACAGTTTTCTATTGGTTTTATATTCACTAGCAATTAATGTGTCTTTTAGAGAGGGGCATTTTTTATAAATAACTGTTGGTTTCTTCTGTACGAACTTTGAGATTCTGGGATCCTCTAGTAAACAGTGCCAATGTTTAATTAATATGTCACTGACTGCTTGATGCTGATTGTTATATGTAAGAATTAATCTAAGTTGGTCATCCTGTTTTTTATTCTTTTCTTTTTTTATCCAATTTGGTCTATAATTGGCTTTGGTTCTATTCTGTACCTGTAAAGTTTTATCTGAGTATCCTCTTTGTTGTAATCTATGGGGTCTATTCACGAAGCTGCCGAAGGATCTGGCCGTAGCTTCGGCCGATCCTTCAGCTAGCTTCGGCCCCAGGACGCCTTTGGTTCAGTGGAACCGAAGGGGTGCTGTATGGGCTATTCACAATAGCCCGTACAGCTCCCGATCATGGCCGAGCCGAACACATATGCATCAGCTCGGCTGAGCCATGCTGAAAGCCGACAGCCTGCTTCTGACAGCCGTGATCTTACGGCTGGTTTTTTGGCCTCAAGTTCAAAATCCTTGTCTAGGCTACAATTTCGCCTTAACCTAAGGTATTGTCCATATGGGATACTGTTCTTAAGGCTTTGAGGATGAGCACTACTGGACTCCAGTAAAGAGTTCCCAGCAGTGCTCTTTCTGTATAGCTTGGTATATAGTGTACCTGTTTCACTTTTGCAAATAATATGACGTAAGGGCTTCTACATGTGGACGTAGGAAATGGTTCACATATATGCTAACGTTTTCGGTTAGGGCCCCACAGCTTGATATTATCGGACGGCCTGGTGGATTTAATGCATTCTTGTGAATTTTTGGTAGGGCATATATCATTGGGATACTTGGATGTTGAATTTTGAGGAAGTTACAGGTGTTTTTATCTATAACATTTTTTTCTAGTGCTTTATCAATGATATTAAACAATTCTTGTTGGTTATTTTGAAGGGTGCCTCCCCTAATAGGTCGATTGTTAAGAATCTTCATTACCATATCTGTGTAAAGGGTATTGGTCATAATAACACATCCAACGAACAAGAATATATCTAGAGTCTCTTATCGGAGAGAAAAAAGAAAAAGAGACTTTATGGTTTCAGTAAAGGCTCGAATCTAAAACAAGTAGAAGAGCCGAGATAAGGTTATCTCCTGAACCCATTACAGCCATCATCAATTTTTCGTTATACCTGATGATAACATCACTTCGGATCCGAGGATCTCCGTCCAGGAAAACGGACATGAAATCACTCCACATTGATCCAGCAAAGAAGATCTTTCCTTCCTTCTTCCTTTATGTACGATTTTGGAGTAAATATTCCACAGAATCAGCACAGGAGTTCAGTTAAGGCACTGATCTACAGCAACCAGCGTAAAAAGCCGAGATAAAGCTATATCTCCTGAACCACCTGTTTCTTCTAACCGGATTTAGTTACAGCAATGGAAACACCGCTTTAGTTCTCCAAGCTGGATCCAAAAACAAGGATTCACTGTGAGTTGAATCCATATTTTTTCATTAGATCTTGATGCTGACTGTTCATTTTTTCCTTGTCTTTTTTCATTTTTCCATACACGTGTATGTCCACTCCTTAAATGCAGAGCTCTTTTTTTCCATAAATATGGACACTATTTCCCACTTTTGTGGAGATTCTTGATATAAGGGAAAACTCTTTAATATCAGGTATTATTACTATAAATGAGAACATCAAGGCTTCTCCAGGGCGTACCTTTACACTATTTTCCATAGCATTGGTAAAAAACCACTAGCTGAATGCAGCCAAATATATGTTTGTTTGTGTTTTGATATATTTGTTGATATGTTTGCTATATACTTTTCAGTATTTCTACAATAAATATATATTTGTATAAAGATTTGTTGCATACTTTGAAGGAATGGTGGGATCCCTTTTTGGGGAAAAGTGTATCTGTTGCTAATATATAGAAACAGGGGACCCTCCTCCATATAATCTGTGTGGTTTACACTTTACCAAAACCTTCCTCTCCCCAAGTATAATATCTCATATATTTGTTTCACCTTTTAAGTTGCATTAGTGAAATAAATGAACTTTTGCACGATATTCTAATTATTGGAGTTTCACCTGTACACACACACGCACACTATATAGGTTGAACCTAATGGACCTGTGTCTTTATTCAACCTCACCTTCTATGTAACCATAAGTCATTATTTAAAACATTTCCAAAAACTCTTAAGAGCTTCAATGACCTCAGCATTCCTAAGGCTATATATCAGTGGATTTAACATAGGTATACCTACACTGTAGAAGACAGAAGCCACCCAGTCCTGGTCTAATATGCTAGTGGATGGACGAAAATACATAAAGAAGACAGTTCCATAGAAGACACTGACAGCTGTTATATGAGAGGTACATGTGCTAAAAGCCTTGTATCTACCCCGGGCTGATCGTACATTCAGAACGGCGAGAACAATATTGGTGTATGAGACAATGATGAGTATGATGCTGCTCATACTGACCAAACTACCTAAAGTAGATATATCAGAACAGGAGAGTTTGTAGAGTGGTAGAAG